CCAACGCCCAACAGCCCCTTCTGCACAGAAATCCTTCCTCAGAGCCAGCCTGACCCTGCCCTGGGCAGCTTGAGGCCATTCCCTCGGGGCCTGGCGCTGGCTCCTTGGCTCCAGAGACTCATCCCCCCTCTCTGCCCCCTCCTGGCAGGGAGTTGCCGAGGGCCAGGAGGTCTCCCCTCAGCCTCCTCTTCTCCAGACTGAACCCCCCCAGTTCCCCCAGCCGCTCCCCAGCAGACCTGTGCTCCAGACCCTGCCCCAGCTCCGTTGCCCTTCTCTGGCCACGCTCGAGTCATTCAATGGCCTTTTTGGGGTGAGGGAATACTTTTTGTATAGGAATACCTACCCCCGCCCTTTGCAGATCAACAGCTGCCCAACCACTGGCAGCAACCACCGCTCTCAACCTGCTGCTGCAGGGCCCTGGGTCATCGGTGACCAGAAACGAGTCCCCTTGCCCAGCCCTGGCCCGAGCACGTCACGCCCCGCAGCTCCCGGTACGCCCTGTCCCCCTCACCCCTCTGTCCGTCCCACAGAACCAGGTGCGTCGGGAGATCACCTACGCGCTGCGCTCCCTCCCCTGGATCAGCGTGCCCACCGTCGCCCTGTTCTTCGCCGAGGTGCGGGGCTACAGCAAGCTCTACGACAACATCGAGGACTCCCCGTATGGTGAGCTGCTCCCCACCGCTCGGGTTGGCCCCCCCCAGGCAGGCGGTCTGCCCCCATTTCTCCCGCTGAGGAGCCCCAAACATCCACCGGGGTACCTCCTGCCTCGAGCTGGTCCCATCTCTTAGTCATAACCCCAAGTTCCCTTTAGGCAGACATGAGGTGCCCCCCCACCCCAGCTCGGGGACGGGGCACAGTGGCCCACTCGACGTGCATCCCCCTCCACAAAAGAAGGGCTTTGTTTCCCCGGGCATGGCTCCTGACAACCTGGTGGCCAGCTTGCTTTTCCTGAGTGACATGAGACCATCCGACCCTCACGCCATGTCTCCTCCATGGGACAGACCCTGACACAAAGGCTATCGTGCCTCCCCAGCACCCACGGGTGCTGCGCTAACACCCGTGTTCCCCTAGGCTGGGCGGGCGTCTTCCTCAGCATGCTGTCCTTCCTCTTCTTCACCGACATGGGTATCTACTGGATACACCGCGCTCTCCACCACAAGCTGCTCTATAAGGTACGAGACCGAACGGGGGGCTCAGGGTGAAAGCCCTCACCCCATGCCAGGGCTGTGGCCAAGCTGCTCCTCCCAAGGAACACGTGTCCGGGAGAAGTTTGGCCTGGTCGAATGAGGCCTTACCTCATGGTGGGAGCCAAGAGCCCATTAGGGCACGTGTCCCTCTCCTTCCCATCAGTCCCTGGCTTGGGAAGTGATGGTGCGTCCTCTCCCCGCAGCGCTTCCACAAGCCCCACCATCTCTGGAAAATCGCGACGCCCTTCGCCAGCCATGCCTTCCACCCCGTTGACGGCTTCATGCAGAGCCTGCCCTACCACATCTACCCCTTCCTCTTTCCCCTGCACAAAGTCACCTACTTGGGCCTCTACATCTTCGTCAATGTCTGGACCATCTCCATTCATGACGGCGACTACCGTGTCCCCCGCCTCCTGCGGCACGTCATCAACGGCTCAGCCCACCACACCGACCACCACTTGTACTTTGACTACAACTACGGGCAGTACTTCACCCTCTGGGACAAGATTGGCGGCTCCTACAAGAGCCCCACAGCCTTCGAGGGCCAAGGCCCCCACGACTACTTGCGCAAGCTCCGAGAGAAAGGCCTGGGCGTGCCCAATGGCCTCTCAGCCGCCAAGACTGAGTAGACTTCCCCCAGCCCCTCTCCAGGACGAGATTCCTGGGCTGGATCTCGTCCTGTTCCTCCCTGGCCTCTTGAGACTACTTTCCCACGGACAAAGAGCCCCCGACGCGGGGCGGTTCTCGGTGAGCCCACCCCTGCTCCCAAAACGGCCTTCTCCGGCCTCGCTCTGCTGCCCCTATCGCTCCCCTTCCCGCCTGCCTTTGGATCTCTGCTATGGCCCCTACGCTGCTTTCATGCCGTGCTGCTGCTTTACAAAACGAACAATAACGTGGCACAGATAGAACAATAACGTGGCTCGCGGCGGGGTCTCTGTCTGTCCGTGCTGCACACCTTTGATTCGCTGCCATGGGGTCCATCCGGACAAGTCGAGTCGAATCGAGTGGAGAAGTTGACAACATTACATTTTTTTTTGCAATAAAAAAAGCCACAAACACGTACCTTTTGGAGACAGTGTGGGTCTGGCAAGGGCTCGGCCTCGAGATGCAGCGGGACTCCTTGGCGCTCGACGCGCTCTTCTCATTCCTCCCACCTGGGGACGTCCCTGGGGTGCTGATGGAACATCTCCTGACAACGGCAGGCCTGTAGGACAAAGATGCACTTTGAGACCCGTGGGTCCCTTGAGCTCCCCGAGAATATTGAGTGGGAGAGGGAAGAGGAGGAACAGGTACCCAGAGGTGAGGGGCAGGGGCTTCTCCTCGCTCGAGGGTTCGTGGCCGGCTCTCCCCCTTAACGCCTGGTGTGTTTCCTGCTGAAACCCCGTCGCCCTGCCTTTGGGTCTGACCTGTGTTCAATAAATCTTACTTGCCAACTTGGCTGCCGTTTGGTCCCTTCGCCCTCGCTCCTGGTGCTGTGTGAAGCCTGACAGGGTGCCCTTTCTCTCCCCTACAGTGCCCACGACAGGCCTACCCTGCGCTGTTCCAGCAGCAGATATGCGCGTTACCCCCTCCTCTCTTGCTGAAACAGCAAAGGGGACGGGGGAAATGTCACCAGCTGCCAGCCCACAGAATCAGCTAGGTTGGAAAGGACCTCGAAGCTCCTCCAGTCCAACCATTAACCCAGCAGTGACCCTTCCCAACTCCCCCAGATCCCTCAGCACTAAGTCGACCCGACTCTTCAACCCCTCCAGGGATGGGGACTCCCCCCCTGCCCTGGGCAGCCCATTCCAGCACCTAAGAGGTCAGCCCCTGCGATTTCTCTTCCTACGGATCAGCCGTGAGAACCCTTCACGCACAGGGGGATGGATGCTCAGAGGCCCTGCCGACACCACGTCTCTTCCCGCGCTGCGTGGCTCAGGGGAGCCATGTGGCACACAGCAGGTAACCGTTCACGGTCCGAGTAGCTGGAGCTGCCTTCACTCCCCCCAACCTCCTTACACGTAACCAGCGTCGACATTGTCCCGGGAACTCACCACACCATTCCCATCGGTCTGTGTCAGCAGCCTTGGCCCTCGCCCCCCTCTTCTCCCCTTATTCCCTACAACTCTATCCAGACTCACAAAGCTGTGAGGGGGGGCTGGATCTTCACCAGGGGCCGTTCACGCGTGGGCAGTGTCAGGGTACACAGTGTTTCCCAGGTGTGGTACAGCCAGGTGCCACGCCTCTGGTGAGCCCTCTCCGGGTTTATAGTGACACAAAACCCCTTAGAGTGCAGGGTTTTGCTCCTCAGGACACTGACAGAGCTGGCCCTTGGGGTACTACATGGCCCATCTGATTCCCATCCTTTTTTCCACTCCCCAGATCATGCAGGTCGGTACCTTCCCCCAGAGGCCCCCCTGTATAACACTTCCCTTCTCAGGGAAACCGGCGCTTGGGCACGCAGCTGCATCACCCGCACTGGGGGCAGAGGCCCCTTTTCTGTGGTGATGGACCCTCTGCCCCTGCCCCATTTCATCCGTGCCCCAGGCAGGGTTTGGCTTGAGGCTGTGCTGTGTGACACCCGGCAAGTGCAAGGGACACTTGTCCCATGAGGGGACAGCAGCCAACAGCCTCAGGGGTCCCATTCTCCTGCCAGCACAGCCCCGCCTGGGCCGTGCTCTGCTTTCTCCTCCGCGCGACAACTCCTTCTCCCCCACGCCCACAGGAACTCTGACCTCTGTTTGCTGATTAACTTGGAGCCCGGAAACCTGCCAAGGGTCAAGGCAAGGCCCAGAACAAACGTGGCGACAACATCACTGACCTTTGTGACCCACCACGTGTCCCAGGGACCCTCGGGACGAGCCCCAGGGCCGTCTCATCACCCCATCCCTCCACCTGCACCGAGCCTGGTGCACAGCAACGGCCTCGCCGACGCCTGAACCCCACAAAAACCACTGAGAGTAAAAGCCGGGGTACCCTGAGAGCAGGTTGTGCTCCCTCCGAGGCACACGGGTGGCCCTAGATGGGACACACCAAACCACATGATGCACGCAGGACCACCCCCAGGACAACACCCCGCCAGCGCGGGGCTCCTGCACACCCATCGGCGCCTCCCGGTGACACACGTGCCGTGTCAAGGCCACCAGCATGGGAGACCCCCCAGGAGAGACACGATTCTGTATTTGGGCCCCCGATGCTGCTGTTACCACAAGATGGAGGTGTTGCTCGTGGCACCCGGCGCCTGCGTGGATGCTTTGGGTGCCCAAGGCAGCGTGCTGCTGCGCGACGCGCTGACGGCCTGGGATGACTTATCCCGGGCGGCTTCTTGAGGCTGAGATTTTTATAGCCTCTTAGTGCCGGGCGTGCAGTAACACCTTTGGAGCTTTGTCAAGAGAGGAAGGCTGGGAGAGCACAGGGGAATAAATGGCGTTCGAGCGAGAGCGCTCTGTGTGTGTGTGTGGCTCCTCGCACAAAGCTTGCCGGGACCATTAGACCTGTCAGACAGCGGCACTGAAGGGCCCTTATGCCACAATAATTACCCAGCCCGAGGAGAAAAACCTATCAAAGTGATTCATAATAACCCGTCTGGTTGTGGGGCGGATCCACGAACGTCCCGGGGATGCCCAGTGAGTGACTGCTTTAGCAAACGCCCCTTTTCACGCAGCCTTTCCTATCCACAAAGCCACAGGTTGCGAGGGTTTCTGAGGGTTAGGAGGGACATTTCGAGAAGTCCTTAAACCCAGGAGAAAAGCCCCCAGCACTCTGCACCAGCCTCTGTTAGTTGCAAATGCACATTGCAAAAAAAAAAAAAACACCACCTCAACCCAGGGCTCCCCAGGCTCATGTGGGGAGCCACAGCTCACCCCGGCCGGGGTCTCCTGGTATGATGTGCAGTAATTACATACAGTAATTAGCCACACAGTAATGTCTACATATACATAAATGAATATGCTGTGAACCCTCCAGAAGTATCTTCTGCTCCATTTGGCCGGCCTGCTGCCCTTCAGAATTGGATCGACCTTGGGGCTATCCTTCCCACACGGCGCTACCTTCCTCTGAAGGTACCTGCAGGTGATGTTTTGGGAGACTGCTCTGCTTTTGGAACTACAGAGAGGCCGATCTGCCTGGAAAACGGCTCCCTTGGAAGAGACAATGCAATTCCACGCCTCCATCTCAAGTGTAGCACTTTTACTTCGGGCTACGTACAGATTAATTATAAACCCCCCCACTCTCCCATTGAGCATCCCTGGCACCTGCGTCAAGGTTTTCTTGCTACACAAGGGGAATTCAGGCCCCGGGTTTTGACTCAAGCCTATTTGCTTGGCATTCGAGCAGATAATCAGGGAGGTGCTCATGCAGGGAGCCCGGTGGCAACCCACACTGTCAGAGTGCCACGGAGTGAGAGCCACGTGCAGGAGCTGAGACCTCCCTCTTGTGCCATCGGGGTGATGCCACCTCGAAATCCTCCCCCCTCCCAACTCTTGCCCGCTCCTCTTGCCAGGCAGATGCCAGGCACAGAGCAGGGGGGACCGATTGCGGCTTCTCGAGCGCAATGTGACCTTGCCGGGCTCACGCTGCTGGCCGCGCCGTACTTTGCCCTAGTTTAGTTGGGCTTTCTTCCCAGCGTGTCTTTCATTTCCCAGGCTGCGGGCGCCTACAGACAGGATGAAGCGACAAGCAGCTGCGGGTGACGCTGACCGTGCAGGGGAGCTGAGCCGCAGGGCTGGCACATGCATCCCTGCGTTACCCTCTGCCAGCCACATTACTCTTTTTTTCATTAATCTGGTTATTAAATTTGAGACACAGACCTTCCCGCTTGCCCCCTCCCAAGTCCAGCCAACAAACCCCATCCCGAAGGCAGGGGTCATCACCAAGGAACATTTACCGCCGCCGTACGGGGCACAGCTTCCCCCCGGCCTGCCAAATTTCAGCCCTTCTTAGACACAGATGGGGGTGGAACCCAAACCTGAGAGAGCCCAAAGCATCGACAGACATGGGGTTTGTCCCATCCCATCCGTCATCCCGGTTAGAGGCACCTCTGTCCCTGCCCATGTTCGCTGCCCACTTGGCCTCTCTCCTTTCACTCCTCAGCCGTCTCGGGGAACTGCTCGCCCTTGCAGAAATAATGAGCAGCTTTGCTGGAGCTCTGTGAGTGGCAAGATCCGAGAGCTGTAGGAAATGATTACTGCTCGGGATTTCGAGCCAGGGACTCCTGGCTTGAGAGTGCAGAGAGGGGAAAGGAAAGGATTAGTGACCTGCAGGGCTCAGCCCCACTGAGAGGTTGGCTCCTCTGGGAAAAAGGCTGCCAATTCTTCATGTCAAAGCTAGAAGACCCACAGATCATCATCTAAGTGTCTTGCAGCACTTCCCAATGGACAGGCACTGTGGCATGCAGACACAACTCGGCCATGCCAAGCTCCCCAGCCACGCCGGACGGGATCTCTCCTTGGGCTTCTGCTCTCAGCAGATGCCACATCCTGAAGAAAACGATATGTGACAGCACAGATCAGGGCAGGAGGGCTCAGAGGTCCCATCCCCTGAGACCTTTGCTTCGAAGGCAGGTCCTGCCAAGACGAGACGCTTTCCTCTTTGAAAGCTCCCTGCATCCTACAACCTGCTTTCCCAGGAGAGACGTGCTCCCTCGCTTCCCAGATGAGCCGGAACAAAGGCAAATTGTCAGCCCTGCTCAGAGACCTGCCCGCTCGACACACACCTCGATCTGCTCACTCCAGGGGTGAGCCACACGTGTGGCCCTTCTTCCCGCAGCAGCAGCAGGCTCTCGCCCTCTGCATGCTGAGCTCTCCGCCACGTTGGGCCTGAGATTGGGCTCCACCAGCGTGCCAGACTCTTTTACTCCCCAACTCAACTCCAGTGTCAGGCAATGTCCCCTTTAAACAACTCTATCTGCTCTCTTGGTGAGGCTTGGGGGGACACGGCTGTTCCAGCCCGAGGGTCTCCAGAGCCCTCCAGGAATTCTAGGGCTGTACCGGGGAAAGGCAAAGGGGAGAGGGGAAGGAAAACCGAGGGGCTGGGGGCTCCTCTCCTCGCTCTTGGTGTTCATGGCATTTGCCGATGATGAAATCCAGATGGACCTTAAAATAAACTCTGCTCTGTTCCCCCTCCCCTTTACGACAGGAGACGGGTTCTTTTTTCAAGAAACAAAAAGTACCTTGGCAAAGGAAACGTGTGTTTCCCTCCACAAAGAAAGAGCTATTCATCTGTTAGCATTTACTCGTGCTAGGTTCAGCCGAGAGGTCCTTGCTCCCGCGCTCTCCCCTGTGCCCACCACACCGACCTGGTGGGAGGGAGGGGGGGAGTCCCACCGGGGGGACGGGGACCCTTCCTGCCTCTGTGCACGAGCGGATGGTCGCGTTGCTCCTGCGAGAAGCACGAAAGGGAGGCCAGGAGGAGGACGGTGAACCCCCCGCGCATCGATTTCCTCCATTTAGAAACCACTA